ACTGGTCCATAAGTCCAAGTCAAGTCCAAGTCAAGTCTCGATTCACTGGTCCATAAGTCCAAGTCAAGTCTCAAGTCCAAGTCAGTCTCACTGGTCCAATAAGTCCAAGTCAAGTCCAAGTCGAGTCTTGAGTCACTGGTCCATAAGTCCAAGTCAAGTCCAAGTCGAGTCTTGAGTCACTGGTCCATAAGTCCAAGTCAAGTCCAAGTCGAGTCTTGAGTCACTGGCTCATAAGTCCAAGTCAAGTCCAAGTCGAGTCTCTAGTCACTGGCCCATAAGTCCAAGTCAAGTCCAAGTCGAGTCTTGAGTCACTGCTCCATAAGTCCAAGTCAAGTCCAAGTCCAGTCTCGATTCACTGGCCCATAAGTCCAAATCAAGTCCAAGTCCAGTCTGCTTTGAGCTTCAGGTCAAATATTTAGATTTTTGCTATTTATATGAATTTTAAACTATATTGTACATAAAAAATCCTGGAATATTTATATATAAGTATTTATAAGTGTTGTAGAAAAGCACATTTTTCCTTTTTAAATGTTTTGACAAGATCTTAGTGTGAATTATTTTGGTCAGAACAGAAAGAATTCAGATTTAAAAGAACTAAATAACTCATTTATGTATTTATTTGGTCATGTCGTCTGCTCATGAAAGGATGATGTTCTTTGTAGTTTCCTCTACTGTACTGTATATTACTGCAGTACATTAGAGGATACTACATCTCAGTACTTCAGTTACTGTTGCCATAGTAACAAAGAGAGAAGTGGGAGGGTCATGTTCTACATTAAGCACTGCATGAATCAACCGTAAAGAGAAAAGTATTTTCTAAAAACATAGAGTTTTTAGAAGAAGCATCGAGTCTCAAGTCCAAAGTCACTGACCTTCAAGTCCAATTTGAGGCCCAAGTCTTTGTCTATTTTATCAAGTCAAGTCTCAAGTTCTAAAAATTGTAACTCAAGTCTGACTTGAGTCCAAGTCCCCAGATCTGTAACCTCGAATCTGACTCATCTGTGCCGTTTGTCCAACCTGAAAATCCAAATGTTCTGGTCTTTTTTGATCGTAAAGAGGAAGATACAGACACGACTTTGACCCACAAGTCACATTTTTAATAAATATGAACTAAAATGTCAAAATAAAACCAGAGACGGAGACACACTTTTATTTTAGACACATTTTTACAGAGAATCAGGAGAAAAAAAAGTGATTTTGGTGTTTAGTGACCCTTTAAATGTTAAATTCTTCTGCACGGATCAGTCCTGGTTTAATCCTGTGGTCAGTGCAGGATGAGTCAAGTCCAAGTCCAGTCTCGAGTCACTGGCCCATAAGTCCAAGTCAAGTCCAAGTCCAGTCTCGAGTCACTGGCCCATAAGTCCAAGTCAAGTCCAAGTCCAGTCTCGAGTCACTGGCCCATAAGTCCAAGTCAAGTCCAAGTCCAGTCTCGAGTCACTGGCCCATAAGTCCAAGTCAAGTCCAAGTCCAGTCTCGAGTCACTGGCCCATAAGTCCAAGTCAAGTCCAAGTCCAGTCTCGAGTCACTGGTCCATAAGTCCAAGTCAAGTCCAAGTCCAATCTCGAGTCACTGGCCCATAAGTCCAAGTCAAGTCCAAGTCGAGTCTCGATTCACTGGTCCATAAGTCCAAGTCAAGTCCAAAGTCAAGTCAAGTCAAGTCAAAGTCACTAAGTCCATAAGTCCAAGTCAAGTCAAAAGTCGAGTCGACTGTCCAAGTGGCCAACTCAAGTCAAGTCCAACAAGTCAAGTCAAGTCAAAGATCTAAGAATCTGATCTGTGTCCAACCTGAAATCCAAAGTGTTTTGTAAAGTAAATACAGAACGACTTTGAGCACGATAAGTCCAAGTCCGGAAGTCCGGGTGGCCGTGGACGGGTGGGCGGGTGCGGGCGGGTGCGGGCGGGTGCGGGGGGGTGCGGGGGGGTGCGGGGGGTAAATGAGCTTCACGCTTCCGTAATCACGAGAGCCTGTTTGTGTATTCAGTCTACGGCCTCAGATCAAACTAAAGACTCGCACATGAATCAGGGTTTAAAGCAGCGAGGCCGGAGGAGCCGCTGTGTTCACTCTGCTGGATAAATACAAACTTCTGGAGCCGGAGGCAGCGAGGCTCATTTAAAAAAAAGTCCTATATTACACAAAATGGACTCTTGTGAGCGTTAAGTCGTGTCCTAATGTCGTTATCTCCTCAAACACAGAGCTGGAGTTTGGAGCTGTTTTGTTTCATTCGCACATGTTTGAGTAACTCTTTAAACGCTCCTCATTTGACAAATTCTAATACAAAAAATAATTCATTCTAATACAAATTAATCTGCAATTTATACAAGGAAAAAAGAAAAATACAATGATGTTTAGATGAAGAAAACCGGGACATTTTCTCATTTTTATTCTCAGATTTTGGCTACGTTCAGACTGCAGGGTTTAATACACATTTGTAATTTTTTTGTGAAATCCAATTTTTTTGCCACATCTGTCCTGCACGCCAGACTCCAGAAGAGAAGACGAGAAGCACCGTCTTGTCCAGTGCTCTTCTCTACAGTCTGTAATCCCTCAGAGTACAGACAGTGTGAGCCTGTCCTTATCCCCCCTGAGCAGAGACCGTTTCTCTAACCCTCCCTAAGAGTCTCCCTGGCCCGGGAAGCTCCGGGCAGGAAGGTTATGGACCGGCAGGGCAGGTGTCCAGACCCAACCCCTGCCCCTGCCCCCGGCTCCTGGCCCGCAGTCAGGTCCCGCCCGCACGCCTGATGAAATAATTTGCATCCCATCCCGTGATGCATTTGGAAAAGTCTTTTTGGACCGACCATATCGGACACGATTTGCGTCCAGACACATTGTTTCTGTGTCCACAAGTCGTCTCTGTCCTCACAGCTTTGAGCACATTTGTTTACATTTTACAGAAACAAAACTTAAAGGTTGTATGGAGGATTTTTTTTGTTTCAAATTGTCAATGATAGATTATAGATGCAGTAGCCTTGTAATTATGATGACCAAAAAAAAGAGAATAAAAATTCATCAACTCTGGACGTGGTGGGGCTAAACATTTGCCAATAGATAACGACACTGCCTCGTTATCTGTGAGCTGACAGGCTGTCAATCAAACTCCCTACGTTTCTATAGTAACTGACTTGCCTGCGCCGCCGGTTACGTGGTTTACGTACGACACAGACGCTGTTTACTCCACCAACGCAACAGTTCTTAGCGGCTTTTTTTGACCTATATCTTCCTCGCAGTTCGCACAAAGTTTGTTGCGATGGCGACAAGAATCCAGGAGCAGTTCGCCGCAAAAGAAAGTCTGTTTTTGAGGTGAAAGAAGAAGACAAGGGGAAAAGCAGCGAAGCCAAACTAAGGTGATTCTTGGAGATTCATTCCAGCGATGGCGCGACTGAAGCAGACGAAGAGTCTAAAGACTGAACCACTGGTCCACAAATTACTCCTGGACAGGAAACTTCTGCTTATTATGAAAACCTACTTTATTTCCAAGAGTTAGACAAACGTTTTTCAGGACACGAAAGCGATATCCTATGTCTGAAAACGTCATTTTCAAGGCAAAGAAAGAGTCGCTTGCTGCTGCGTGTTGTAGTTAGTTCATTCGCACTGAATCTCCGCGCAACCTTCTCTGCTCCCCTTTCCTGCTCCTCTCCCCGCTGCCCGTTCTGCTCCTCTCTCTGCTCCCTCCTCCTCACTTCTCGTCCGCGAACGAAATGTCCGCACACCCGCTCCCCCCGCTCCTCACTTCTCCGTCTTGTCTAACCAACACTGTAGTTAGTTGTTTACAAGTCATGTGCAGCGGCTGTAAACAAACCTGTTTGTGGCGTAAGGAGGAGGAGGGAGGAGGTGTTTCTACGTAGGAGCTGTGGGGGAGGGGAGGTGGTTTCACACATGCGCAACATTTGAAAAAGGACAAACAGTCGCTGGATTTCTCGTTCCTTGGAAAATCCTCTATACAACCTTTAAAACCACATGACTCATTTACATAAACTAAGTGCTCAAAAAAACAGCTCACTCCTTGTGTCGCTGATGTGGTTCAGGTTCTGTCGGACTAAAGGACACAGTGACTGAGTGGAATCTGAGTGTTCTTTCTGTGACAGAGGGATGTTCTGCTGGTGGTGAGTCTGTTCTGTTTGTGTAGTTGTAGCTCCGCTGTTTCCAGTTTGTCTCTGGTTTGTTTAAACTGTTTTCCACAATATCGTCACATGATCGACGTCACGAACCCAGAGAATCAGGACGGAGCGAGTCACAGTGACGTGGTCCAGTCAGGACGAGACTCGAGCTCCTTCATCAGAGTATCAGTGTTTTCAGGAGTCCACACAGTCAAGGATCAGATCTGGACCAACATGAATTCATGGGAGTTGGAGGCACCAGAACGTTCTGTCTCTGGACACATTTTCCATCGGATTAGTGTGAACGAACTCTGCATCCGCAACAAAAAACACTCGATACGAACTAGTGTGAACAGGGTTTCATAGGCAGAGTCTTTGTGTGTGTCTGTCCCTTGAGCTGTTACACTGAGAGCGCCCCCTGCAGGTTGTGGTGACTCTTTTCGCAGCTTTTTTCATTTTTCTGTGTTTTCTTGATTTTCGTCGTTTCGTGCTTTGCGTCGTTTCTCAATTTTGCGTCGCATTTGATGATTTTATATTTATTTTTGTTTCTTGCGGCGCGTTTTTTCCATTTGCTCCACGTTCTTTTTTGTTTGTTCGTCATTTAAATTTGTGTTTGAGTTTGTGAATTTGCTTCGTTTCTGGACTCGAAGTTGTTTCTTCGAACTGGGTTGTTGCGTTTGTCCCTCGTCGACCACCGTATAAATGATGATGAGGAATAACCACATAATTAGGCTCTTTAATACAGACACGTCCAGCAAAAAACAAAACAAATCTTGTGAAAATAGAGATTTGTGTTTGTGGAATATCGTGAGTTCTCATTTTTAAAGGGGTCCACAAGTCTGACGTTTATATTATGATCCTAAAGATGCATTGTGTAACTTTTCTTCTGTTGTCTCGTGGTCCAG